ACATTTTGCAGTTCCTGCTTTGCAATTCTGTAATAAAATAAAATGTTTTCGAATAAATATAAATAAATACACGGAGTACTTCTTATTATACATTTAATAAGTTACGTACTATTGAAACTATTTGTCGTCTATTACCGTCGCTATCAATCATTGTTCGTGTATTAACGACTTTTTCTGTATCTCTTTTCATTCTTACATAATTCGTGTCGTTATTAGTTGTAGGCGGTGTAGATATTGCAGATTGAAAGATATTGATATCATCATAACTAGCACTATCTTGTAATTTTAATGGATTAAACTGGTGATCTGGTGGCAACGTGCATACGCCATCACCTAAAGCTATAATATGAGATGAATAATAAAATATTCATTTAAATACTCAATATTAAGTAATCAAGAAAAAACATTTTCAAGTTATAATATAACATGCATACATGTTTAATAAATTATATAATATTATTGCTGCATCACCTTGTACACTTGGCATTTCTTCTAAATACAAAAGCCATTTGCCATGAGCCTTGTCATTTGCCACTTCGTAAGGCCATGAAATTCGAACTTCTAAAGTGCTTACCCTCCAAGGACCTTTATTAAATACTTGATAAATATGTAAAACTTTTGGCCCAACTTCATTTAAGTGTTTTATAGCTGATTCGCCCACGACTGGCCCACCATAGTAAACCCATGGAATTTTTACACTTCTGCAATTTTTATATTTCGCGTGTAAATAAATATTTCATTGTTTATTATATCACAAATTTTTATTTGTAGTAAAAATTTCGAAGTTACCCTTTAATTGATAATTCTGCACATTTAACTACTGTTGCTTGCAATCTTGTAGGCTCCTTTTCCTTTATTTCTTTTGATGTAGAATTTGCGAATATTAGAAATCCTAATTTCGATTCGTTATCTTCCAATTCTTTAGGATCAAATCTTACTTGTATATTTACCATTTTATCTTTCTTCAACGGGTTACCAATGGTACAAGCCACTAATGTAGTATTATGCAAATTGCAAATTACGGAATCATTACTTTTAATAGCGATGTAATTCAAACTATGCGAATGAACGATGAATAGTTGAGCTTCATATGCTGATTCTCCGATATTAGATACACTTACATCTACCACAACTTCCTCCCTTTCACCCAAAAGGAGTTCATAGATGTGAGGTTTCTCAGATGAAGCTTAACATATAAATAATATTAATTTCTTTTAAATTGCTTACATACTTATTGTTTTTTAATAAAATTAATTCTGAGATTATAGTATTTTTATTTAATTAAAGATTATACCTGATAAATTTAATCGAGCCTTGACTTGCAGATCACTTTCACAAATGTCATTATTACCACAATCTTTTTGAAAAGTTGCTTCAAATATGCGTGCAGCTTCTTGCTGATTTAAGATAGGATAATTTTTTATATCAGGTAAAGGTTGCCCTTCAGCTGGCATGATTGGTTCCTCTTGTATTAAAGAGTAATTTAACCGGAATTTAATTGGTGATTGAATGTCGCGTGTATTTTCCTTAAAGAAAGAAAATGTAGAAATTTATATAGAACAATATTATTTATGTCCATAATATTGCAATCTAATAACAAATATAATTACCTTCAAATAAATTATTTCTTTCTGACAATGCTCAAATTTTGTTGTGTCTAAAGTAACTGTACGATTTATATAATGTGGACGAGAATTACCAGCGCCAAACCATACTCTTGAGAATTTTTTAATCCCCGTGTAAGTTTCGGCTTCAATGTAATAATTTAGTTTTAAATTTTGCATATCCTCTTCTTTTATAAGAGATTCTGTTTTACAACAAGCTTCAAACGAAAAACTGCAACGAATTCACTTTGTATAATATTTCACTTTGTATGAAAACATTGTTATAAACGTGATGTTCCCGAAATTCGTAAATTATACGTACCATGTGTAATTTGAATCAGGGTCTTCTGAACATCCAAATTTATTAGGATCGATAGGTTCTATTCTTTCCTGATATGTACCATTTCTTTTTAAGTAGCGGATATACGTGGTGATATCAATAATCTTTTTTGAACGAAGAAGCGCTACGGCATCGTTTTCATAAGCTCCAACCAACAAATCCGAATATCCATTTTGATCCATATCAATTCCTCCACTTAATGAGTAACCAAATGTTTGTAACGGTTGTGGCATATCATCTGCGTGTATTACCTAAAAATTAAGGAAACTTGAAACAATATTTTACAACTTTACATATATTTACGCGTGTATTAAATCATACCTGTGATGGCACTGTAATTATTCCATTTTTGGCACCTAAGTATATATACACCGTTCCCTTTTCTTCATAAGGTGCTCCAATTGCAATATCCTCGTATCCATCTTTGTTCAAATCTCCCAAATTCGTTAATGCAAATCCGAATCTATAATTCAGTTACATATTATTACATAGTATCACAATTCTTATATATCTATAAAAGACTTTATAATAACTTAATTGGGACACCCTGTACAGATGAATATTTACCTTGATTCCTCACGACCAACAAGTTTAATAGGTTTACTTTTTTCAGTATCCTTGAAAGATTTCTGCAATGACGTATATACATATACAGCACCTCCTTCTGCTTTATTGAAATAAAATGGTGCTGCAACTATAAGATCTGAAATTCTGGAAGAAAGGAATACGAAAATACTAATGTGTAGTAATTAAACTATGAATGTTTACAAAACACATTTATGAAAAGAAATATACTTGTCTCCGTTAACATCCGCAGACGTAATTTCATATCCAAAACTTGACGCAAATTGTTCGCCATCTAATACGAGAGCTACGTTCATATCTGGTTTATAATCTTGTCGTGTAAGTAAAACAACTTGACCAGTTCCATTAGAACGTGGTGCTCCAGCAGCATATGCCAATCCATTATTAAAGAAATTCCCCACAGCAACAGACATTCCTACAAATTTAAGTTGTATTTTTATTGTTATCAAAATAATTTATTTTTATAAATAAATACTGAAAATAATAAGGTAACAAAATATAATAGAAGTACATACCTAAATAACTGTACTTGCTGACAGGAGAAGAATCTTGCATTGGAGCATTGTAAACAGTACTTTCTCTAGTTAAAAAGTCGTCTGAAATTGTAAAAAGATATAAAGTTCCCCTCCATGTATGTGGACCTGGTGTACCAATTACAACACGATCCTCTGCAGTAAGTACACCACTAGTTCCGGCTTGACAGTATCCAAATTGTTCATGAGCTCTAAAATGTGAGAAAACATCCTTATCTAATTGTATAATGTACACAAATTGTGAAATATATATTGAAATATATATTAAAATTTTTATATTACTTATTTGTTGGTTTTCCAGAGCAAGGTTTTTTTAAATCTTGATATTTCAAGTCTTGTGTTAATATATAACATTGCCCTTGACCCCACTGTGAATCTGCTGTTTTCACAATGTGTCTGTGTGCACATACCTACAAATATATCAAAGCTAATGAATTAAATACCTTATAACAATAATAAATATTATATGTAAAGGAATATGTACCATTACTTTGCCTCCTGAGCCCTGACTACGAACTGTTACTCCCAACCATTGATTGTTTTTTATTTCATCATTTCCTGGTGGTTGTAAGTCATCGGATTCCGAACCTGAAAAATTAAAAATGAACTGTTAATTAGTGACATAGCTCTTGATTTTGTAATTAATTTTCCAGAGTATCCATGTTTAAGAATAAATTCAATCAGGTAGTACAAATAAAATATTGTATCATTTCAGTTTATTTAATCTAAGTAATTCCCTTAAGCACAATTCAAAAATATTTGAGAACATTATATGCAGGTATTGCATTTAATGAAAATTCTCATTATGTAACAATGAAGCCATAAACTATAGATGCATATTATAACATGTTTTAAAATGAGAAAAAACATATTAAATCATTNCAGAGTATCCATGTTTAAGAATAAATTCAATCAGGTAGTACAAATAAAATATTGTATCATTTCAGTTTATTTAATCTAAGTAATTCCCTTAAGCACAATTCAAAAATATTTGAGAACATTATATGCAGGTATTGCATTTAATGAAAATTCTCATTATGTAACAATGAAGCCATAAACTATAGATGCATATTATAACATGTTTTAAAATGAGAAAAAAATTATTAAATCATTAGTTATGTATGCACATATTTATATTTAAGTCATTGTAACATGTTTAAACATTGATAACAAATCATTCCATACAAATTATCATGCTGAAACAAATGTAAAATATATATGAGGATCTACTGAAAATAATTAAAAAACCATAAAATATAAATATACTATGCAGAATAATAAGCACATGAATGTAAATTTTATTAATTGCAAACA